CACACACACACACACACACACACACACACACACACACACACACACACCATGGGAGTAGTGTCAGCTCTGTCTACTAACAACAGTGTTCTCAAAATGTGCTAGTTCTGAACTATCTGGGCTGCAGGTTCTACATTTACAGTTCGGTAAACTCTGTTCTCTATAAGTGATGGAAATTGTGTAACAAATGGAAAACACTTGAAATTATGACTGCCACATATAATATTTTTATATAAGACTTTCCTTCTCTGCTACCTCATGCCTACAATTTTTAAACATTATTTTTTGTCCTTATTCCAGACATAAGGAAGATAGGTGAAGAGTCATTTGACATCTTTCTTGGCTTTAAAGTTTCTCAGTTTGATAATGACAAACAGATACACTTTTCTGTCTCTGTGATTCTAAAGTATATGCTCACTTCAGGAGCTACCCAGGTTCCCTGACTTGCCTCCTGGTAAAACTGTACTTCTTTCCACTCTGAGTGTATGCTAAATCAATATGTTTGGATGCCTTTATACACGTGTGTGGAAGCTAGAACTTGGCTTAATGTCTTAATTAATCCCCAGCTTATTTCTTGAGACAGGGTTCCTCACTAATTTTGGAGCCCACTGATTTGGTTAAGTGGACTAGCCAGCAAGCCAAAGGAAATGCCTTATCTCTCTATGCAGCATGAAGCTTCACTTCACCACAGCACCTGCTTTTTAAAGTGAGAGCTTATGGTTTCCACTCGGGTACTCATGCTTGGGCCAAGAGAATTTTATCAACTAAGCCATCTCCATGACCATGCTCCCTTCCTTCTGTATATTAAGTAAGCATGTGTCTCCCTAAGACCCAGCAGAAGCAAGTAAGGAAAGATATTTCAGGACTACATACTACAAGGAAATTTGTGAAAACTACATCAAGGCTTTGTGATTGGTTGCTCATCACAATACAACAAAAGAATGTCTTCCATCCAAAGTATGAACAATCCTAGTAGTCCCATCTCAAGTGCTGTGAGATGTAACCCTGGAATTGAGACTTGAACTGTCAGCTCACCTAAAGTGAGGTGATAGGCATTTCTGTCATTACCTTGGGTTCCAAATGGTGTCAGTAGAGGCTTCTGTGTAGCACCCACCAAAATGAAGTAAATTTTGACACAATCATATTTTTATCAACCTGACCCAACCCCTGACACAGCCTGGCAATCTTTCCTGACTTTTTTTTTCATATGAAATGACTTTAAATATCTTCATTCTTTTTTTGTTTATAAAGAATTTGTATGTTAACTTTATTTCATAATTTATTATCTACTATTTTTTTCCTTTGGAAGATAAATTCTAGTGCACCTGTATTGAAATAGCTCTTTTCATTGAAAATAGATTCTTCCTTCATACAATACATCCCAACTACCATTTTCCCAAGCTCCACTCAAAGCTATCTTCCCAGTCCCCTCTCCCCAGATCCACTCCCCTTCCATTTTCTCTTCAGAAAAGAGCAGGCCTCTGAGAGCCAATATACAACCAGGACAAAACAAGATTTTTAATATATGGCAAAACTCCTCAGTCAATGCTGGGCAAGGAAACCAAATAGGCAGAAAAGACTCTTAAGCTGGCAAAGAAGTCAGCAACACACCTGCTTACACTGTTAGTGTGCGTTAAGTGGACCATGCCACCAGACAAGAGGAACTGGTAAGGTTTGAGTGAGTCCAAACCCTATGAAACTCAGAACTGAGTACAGTAGGTGTGGGGCCAGTTCCCTGCCATACTCTACCTGTTCTGGAACATGTAACCATGACACTCCAGTGAAAGGACCATGACAGTCACTCATGGTCCAGGGAAAACAGTTGAAGTCCTTCTCCATGCTAATAGAGTATCATTAGCATCTCCAACTGAGCCAATGGGAAACATCTACACCTGGATCCCACCTTACACTTCAATGTTTATAAAGTCCCTATCGACGTGGAATAAAGTACATAATTTATTTTACTGAGAATTATCAGCGAATGGCTGTTTACTGAGTTGTAGCACTTTGTCAAAAAGTTTTCTCTTCCGAAGCATTCATCCCTGCACCTTAGATCCACCTGGCAGGCTGGGCTCATGCCTCTGTTGTCCATGCTGTCCTGCCACTCAGTCACCAGCCCATTGCCACTGCTGCCTGAACAAGCCACCACCCCTGTGCTGACACTGGCACTGCCACATTACCAGGCAAGACCTGGGACCCTAGCTACCGACTTTGTGCAGGCCTCCTTTCTGAGACCTCTAATGGTTTGGCCATTTCCGGTTGGATCAGAGAACCACAGAACCACCCATTTCACTGAGGAAAAGTTAGGAGTCCCACAAAAAACACCAAGTTAGCAACCATAATAACAATATACAGAGGAGATGGTGCAGGCCACATGCTTGCCAACCCCTTTTCTGTGAGCACATGTGAGCTTAGTTGATTCAGTGGATCAGGTTCTCCTGGCATCCTGCATCCCCTCTGACTCCTACAATCTTTCCTACCTCTAGTCATTGGGGTTCTCCAATTTCTGAAGGAAGGAGAATTCCAATTTAGCCTCTCTCTCTCTCTGCATAGTGTCTGGCAGTGGGTCTCTGTACCTATTTGCATATGCTGCCAAAGGAAGCCAATCTGATGATGACTGGACATGCCAGTGGTGAGAATCTTCCTTACAGGCTACAGAAAGATAAACTTAAGAGACCAACTCAGCCATAAAACTCTCAACCTACAATTTGTCCTGCCTGCAAGATATGTGGGAGTGGCCAACCAATGTTTGGTTTAACTTGAAACCTGTGTAATGAGAAGGAACCCATGCCCTACACTACCTGGATGGCCAAGAACCAAAGACTGGGTAACCCAGAGACATAGGGAAGAATCAAATATGACTGGAAAAAAAGTTCAATGAAACAATTCCTAATGATATTCTGCTATAACCTGACTTCATGTAAGACCTAGGGTCTCATTCCAACAGTCTCAAATCTCAGAAACTCCTTAGGGAGAAGTGAAATTTGCCTTGCTGTCTTCAACTACTCAAGTGTTCCCAAGGTGAATGGCAGCCAAAGAAATATGTGTGTAGGGAGGTATCAGGTACCTGGTACAACCTAGAAACCTAGCCTCTGATGACCTGAGACAGAACATATTTCAGTGTTCTAGAAGGCCTTGTGATGCCCCAGGAGGAAGTGAACATGATTCACTGTGTTACCATACCATGTATCTCATCATTCTTTCTGTATTTCTGTATTGATTGATTGTTCCCTCATTTACACTTGGGATCATATTCATATTGACTCCTGCTAGGGAGTATTATAGTCAGTCCCTCCCTCCCTCCCTCTCTCCCTCCCTCCCTCCCTCCCTCTCTCCCTCTCTCTCTCTCTTTTTCTCTCTCTCCCTCAATCCCTCCCTCTCTCTCTCTTTTTCTCTTTCTCTCTCTCCAGTTGAGACCATCCCTATCAATCCCAGGAGATCTTACTGCAGAGAATCACTTCACAAACCACTACAAACTACTACACAAAGGGCTAACTTCAACCTGTCAGTTTTCATGGCCTCCCAGAGATATAGTGATGAGGTTTTGAAACTTGACCTTGCTTCTCTGTTTACCTTTGGGTCCAGAATATGGCTTTTCAAACGTTTCTGTTCTACTTGGATTTTGTATGCTATTGGGGATTATTAGCTTACTGCTATCAGAGCCCAGGAATCTTTTCTCACCTAACATGAGAATGCTGCTGCTGGGGCTGTAATATCTCTTAGAATTCGTGAGGGCATAGGTACTTGCAAAGCCCAGAAGAGGGCATACAATCCCCTAGAGCTGGAGGAAGTGTGAACTATTAGGACACATTAAAGCTAGTAATATTGAAAATAAATAAATCACAGTATGCCTCAGCATAAGGAGGAGTTGTTTAATCTCTAAAGCACATGTTTAACCTCAACTAGTTCAGTTTATGTGGGAACTTCACTAAACATGGGATCATTAAATTTGTAAGCCTCTTCTCTCTATTGAGAAATGATTTTGAT